GGGGGGGGGGCTTGCCATGCGATGTGAGACACATCAAGGAAATGGGCCGCACGCTCCGACAGCCTCGAAAGGCACTGAGAGCTTGAACTGTCTCACCGCGAGGGCCATCCATCAAGATTACTCCTGCATCAAAGCAAGGGAGTGTCGGACATTCAGCTTTGTGTGCTCAACGAGAATTACGTTACGTCCGGAAGTAGTGACTGCAATCAGAAGGCCACCGGACGATGGGCTTTGCTGGCCAACGAACGGATGAATGGAAAATCAAGGCATCCGATCAGACGAGAGCATGATGAACACTCACCATACTCGCTGGGCATCCGCGCTGTCCTCTAGGGCAGCCAGCAATTTGTCCAGCTTCTCGACGTCAGACTCGTTGAGATAGCCAGCCGCGTCTTCGTCGCTTGCAGTCGTGTCGCTATGGGCAGCGTCTTCCTCTTCTGAACGAAAGCGGATGGGTGGACCTGAGCTCAGGAGCACTGTCTCGGCGCTGAGCACTTGATCTGTGCCCGCAAGCGTCTGACTCAGCGCATACAGTTCAGTTGGGTCGCAGTCGATCTCGATTGGCAGCACATCGCTCGAGCTTGCGCCGACCTCTGAGCTCATGGTGTTCTCCAACTCCTCGTCAATCTCATCTGCTTCCATGACACGCACGTCCGTAGCCCCCGCTTCCACCGCAACGTCAAACACCTGATCAAAGGATCGTCTGCTGTCTGAGCCGTCTGCAAGACCAGGCAGGATCCGCATTCGTCCTACGCGATTGAACAGGTGAGCTGTAGAGCTGAGCCGCGCATTTGCTCGGTTCATCAACTCTTTGACCTTCGCGAGCGTGCGCGGGACAGAGTCTGTAAGGCATTCTCTGTTATGGACATTCCAGACAGGCGAGATCTGGCCTCAGCTTTGATTCCAGAAGCAGGTTGCGCCACGATTTGATGAGGTTCGCGACACAGCAGCGCTATTTGCTTAGCTGCTTCACTCACATGACCAGTGCTACCGGCACTCCTGCCTTGTTTGGGGGTCCAAGAGCTTCGTACGTGACCGAGTGCATGCTCCCGGCCGCGACTCCGTTCGCCTTTTCGAGCGTAGCATTGACCCTGTCCTTTGGCACGCCGTTATCCTTGGCTTTCTTAAGCAAGCTTGCAAGCCTTGCGTTGCTGTTAGGATCACACGAGCGCGTTGGATGCTGACGCACGCTAGCAAGGATCTCTCTCGAGATGGCAGAGTAGACCGTGCCTCTTTCTAAATCCTTTGCGCCCTTCTTGTGGCGAATCTTGGACCATTTATTCGAGCCAGAGAGGACGCGAGTGGAGATTGAGATTGAGCGGACTTGTCCAGATGTCCATTCATTGACGCACGCATGACTAGAAGAGAGTCTCGAGTGGACCATTTCCCTCTTCGGCTCACCCGCAGCCATTGAGAAGAATGTCCTCTTGGAGCTGGGGACAAATGCAGCCTGTGTGGAGACATTGCCTCTGCAGCTACCTCGAGTTGGCAAAGATGATTGTCCACAGTATGCGCATCTCGAGGTCCTGGAAGCTTGGGTCGCAGACTGGCTCAGGAGGGTGGCGAAGCGGACGGCGGGTCCAGGTCCGCTTGAAAGCGGGATGGCGTGCATGACCTCCAAGTGGTGATGCCCGTGAAGACAAAAAATTGGAGCAACCTGCGATAGCCAACAGATTCTCAGCAATCAAGAGATGCAGACCTGTGATGAGATGCGAGTCCTCTGATTAGTGAGTGCTTCTCGAGCGAAAGGAGCAGTGATGACCTTGGCAGTCGTGAGCTTTGGGTGATGATTGTGTCCTTCTCAGCATCGTGCATCAAATACGCACACAAACGGCAGCTCGCGGGAAGATATCGTGCGAGAAGTGGCGCGCAGTTTTTGCTATCACTAAGGCACGTGCGTGCAGCCAGCCGGTGTAGGCCACACTGACAGCATCTGGCGTCCATTGATTGTACGCATGACGCAGACATTCACACCAGTCACGCACCTTCGTCGAGGGCTTGACCGAGCGACCATTTCTTGCGTTATGGAGATAGGCGAATCATATTTCGGCTGAAGACATGTATCGCCAGGAACACCGCGCAGCAACAACTGCCATGGAACAAAGGCTATCAGGCATGAGCAGGGAAGTGAAGCGCAGTAAAGCTTCCAAAGAGTTGTGCTTGTAGAGCTTTCCACCTTTCCCCCACGGCCTAGTGCTCAGGCGGTGGAAGATTGAGGTCAAAATCAAGCATCCGGTGAGGTGTTTCGGAGGACGCGATATTGGCTGAGTTGCTGGGAGCAGCCCGCCCCAAAGAACCCACTTGCGGCGCAGCACGGCTCGCGGTGAGCAGCGGCAGGGCAGAGTCTGACACGCGAGAAGTTCCACCGACACGCACGTACCGCCCTGGCTGGAATTTCGCCGGAACTTGGCCAGGTCCTTTGTATACGGGAGGTCGGCCTCTACGTGGACGGTCCAAAGGTGTCTTTCCCGGATACTGTTGGAAGATCACGTCCTCCTTGATGCCCTTCATGCGTAGTCTTTGGCGGGCAGTAGTCAGAGCATTCTCGCCCACGCGGTCATTGGAGTATTCCGGGTAGAATTCGCGCGGATCAGCGTTTGCTGCTTTGATCTCTTTATCCAACCTCTCTCTGATTTTATTCGATGCTCTTCTTGCATCTCCCGGTAAAGTTCGCCAGATTCGCATTTCGCTCCAGCCCCGCTCCCTGAGTCTTGAGCGTTGACGGCTGGTCGCGACGGTTACCTTATTCTGCTCATACAAAGCTTTCTGATGAGCCTCTTGCCGTGCCAGAGCAGCAGCGTCTCCTGCTTCAAGCGCAAGCTGCTTCGCGGCGGCTTCTTGCATTGCTCGTCTTTGTCTGAAGAGGGTCGACGATGAGCCTTGACCAATGTCTAATTTCCCAGGTCGACCTACCCGCTTTCCTCTGTCAGGGCCAAGGTAAGGCCTGCGCTCCTTTTTCGCCCGATACCTCTGGCGTGACAACGTGCGTGCCGAGCCCTGACCATCTGGCAAACGTGCACGGCCCATAGTCTTTTCTTCCCCAAGCGCTTCAATGCTTTTCACAGCCTCTACCGACGAAGAGCTTGCGCCGTCTTTGACTTTGTCCGCTGCACTACCAGTGGGCACCTTGTCTTTTGCTACGGCCTTAGCGGCTTCCAGAGAAGCTTTCAAAGGAGACCTGCGCTCGAGAGGAACGACGGTAGTATGCGCACTAGCCCGCCCATCCTGCAGGTGAATGCCGAGCCGTGCTATGGCTCTGGAACGAAGATTATCTGCATGGGTTCCGACCTCCTAATGAAAGCGCACTCCTAGCGTAAGCATTTCCTTCGATATACGTGCAGCGAAAGGACTGATACCTACCTGCGCTGAAAATCCTGATGCTCTGCATGACCGCAAGCCGATGCTGTGGGCAGCAAAGCAAAGAGCGAAGAGAATCCGCCGCATTGCGGTCCTGCTGCGCCCGAGCGAAGGTGACGGTGGCTTTGCGTGCCTCTGCGGTTTTCTAGTCGTGGGATGCCGCAGAGATTGGCGAGCAAATGCGGAAAAAGATTGAGCAGGTGCTCCGAAATTTAGAGCAAAAGACGCGCGAGACTTAGGCCGGCTGATTCTAGCTAGAAGAGAAGAGAAGAAGGTGGGATGGAAATCGACTGGAAATGTGCTAGCTCTAGGGACCCTTTTGAGACACCGGACCATGCCACTCTCATGTTCGCTATAAGGCAAAGCAGCAGCCAGGTGGCAGGGCCATTAAGGGCATCCGCGTTGCTGTAAGGAACGTGTCCGTGTCCTTGCCTTGATGCACTGCGACAAAGGCATGCATGCAGCCACCCAACTTTATCCCGTCTTGCCACTCACGACGCCAACCATGTCGTCTTGACGATGCATGGCAAGGGTGATTACGATGCGTGCGCTTGCTAGCTACCTTCCCACCAGTGGTGTAGCTCCTCGCAATGCGCCCGCGGCATTTAACATAAAGAGGGGGAAGTTTGAATCTTGTTGTGCAACCGTTGACATATCAAGCGGGTTACTTGTGACCCTTGAGCGAGGTCAAGGAGGACACGGCGCTGGCAAAGACACTGATTCGGTACGTCGTGAATAAGTTGCTCCGTTGCCGTTCATCGCGCGTTCGTGTTACTTCTCAATCGATCGTGGCGAGCCGAACAAATGCTTCAGCCAGACTTTGTGGCGAGTCGAGGACGGTTTCGCGCCATGGATGCTCAAATATACGCCATGTCTGCGGGGGCGGTTGCGTGGCCAGTCACAGTCTGAGTAGTAAATAGAATGTGCGGCGGGGCGGGGCGGGGCGCAAGACTGCGCAAGACTCACTGTGCCATATATGCCAATTCCATCGCGTGTGGTCAGACACTTGAGTGCGTGCGTGAAATGAGGCTTCTTGATGGTGCGAATAGGAGTCGAAGTCGTGGATCGTGAATCACCATGGCAGACAATCCCAATGAGCGATAGCCAAGCAGCTTTTTTGGCGCGTTGGGCAGACTCAGTCGTGGTGTCGATGGGATGGCTGTTCTCGCGTCAGGAGCGTCGCATTCCACCAGAGCTGCAGCATAGTCTTGAGTCACATCCACGCACAACGCGCGGGTAATCCTATATACGCGCTATCCAAGTCACGTGCCCTTCCGCGTCCAAAACAGGCAAACATCATCAGCAGCGCAGGCGGTGGCAGCTGCGCGTCTCGACCTCAACGGCCAGCTGCATATATGCTATGCATGGCAGGGAGCCGTTGATCTTGGATAGCGTACCTACATCTGAAACCGTTGCTCCTGGCTTCTGTATTCCCATCCCCGATCAAAGTCTTGGTGTGCACCTTTGTACACAACGCGGAAGCCTCAAGGAAAACGAAATGCAGTCTCGAAGTCGTGCGGTATTCGGCGTGCGGCCTCGAGCCATGGCCCGGCTCGCCCGGCACAGATGCCCCGCCGAAGCCAACGGACGACCCTGCTCTTCTGCCATGACCGCCCGTGCGGATCACGAGAAACCCCTTCCTCGGCCAGTGTTTGAGTCATAATGAGAGGCGCCAGCTCAGGCTATCCTAGCGTCATTGTCACGAAGAGGACTGGCCGTGAATTTGGTAAGACTGAAGCTCTCTGATCCGCTCTTCACTCATCGCAATCTCCCATCCTTTACAGCACACATACTTATCCCTCACACCACAGATATCAACTCTCGGACACCCGACTCCATTCATCTGCCAGGCGTGTTTATCCATTACTGCTGAAACTCAGTCACACATGCTCGTGAGCCCTACTCTTCGCATCATTCAACACACACTGGGCGGCGGCAGCAAGGATGAATGGAGCTCAAAATGCGCCGAAGCCGAGCACCAGGCGCTCCATCGGATCGCGTTTGAGGCTGTCACGATCGGTCAACGCCATGAGCGCACACTATCAGAGCGCATCCAGCTTGGCTGCTTCTGGCTCGCTGGCCTTGAATAACAGTCGACCACCTTTGCCATCAAAACGAGTGCCGAACGTCCCGTTCCGCGAAGTTCTGCCGCATTCGATTGCACGACACACGGACTCTGCTTCGACGAGTGGTAGCGAATACAGTCTGTCAGCGATTCAGATACCCCCGGCTTGCGAGTCTCTGCCTGCGACGAGTAACACTCGCGGCAGAATGGTATCACGCGATGGTTCTCCATGGGTAGGGTCCCCCCACCCCTACGCTCTGCCGACCCTGACACCCGAAGAGGCTTTCAAGGCCCAGGACCTGCTGGCTGGCCTTGCTGGGGTTGGCGCTCATAACGCGCGTGCCGACTCGGGAGACGGAACTACGCACGCACGCCTGAGCTCCTTTCGTACGGTCAATGTTGACAGCTCGTCAGAGTCGCACTCTTTTTCGGGTACTAGCAACACGTTCTCAGACGCGTCGAATCCACCAAGTCCGCTTCTCTTCGTGGACATGGCCAGTGGCCATCGGCCTCGTTCTCGGCAAGCAAGCAATAATCCTCTGATCGCTGGGTCTAGGGATGCGCACGCGAAGCCAGCTGAATGCCAGGACTACGACGTGCGTGCATCCGTTTTGCTCGAGGAGCACCTGGCCCTGCTCCAGCTTCAACAACAGGCTTCACATTCAAAAGCCCCTTCAAGACCTCCGACACGAGCTTCTAGGGAGAGAGAACGCACCTTCCGACCACTTACGCCGCAGACTGATACCGTGGCCATGGAGCTAGGCGAGGAAACACCAAAGCTGGCACGCCGAAGGTCCAGATCTGTCAACAAGATAATGGTGCAGGACGCCCGACGCGGCAGTCGACTCTTGCACGAGCTACACCAGACAGATAGCAGCTGTTCGGAGCATGAACACGCAGCTACAGAGAGTCATAAGCTGCTTGCGCCGGCGACCAGACCCAGAGCACGACGGAATTCGGGATCAGCACTGCTTCCAGATGGTGACCCGCCGGCCGCGCTCAGCTGCGTGCGCTCTAAGGAAGCCGTCCGAGGTCTCAGAAGGAGATCGCATTCTGCCAATCCTGCCACGATCGTCCTAGAAGCGAGCCGCAAGGGTCAAAAGAAGGATGAGACCATGCCGACTTTCAAACGGGATGCAAACCTATCGCTCATCGGCCCCTCTTTGACGCCTGCTGCGCGGACCCGAGCCAACTCTTACTGTCCACCTACAGCATATGCGGTACATGCTTCTCCTCGTACGCCAGCTGCAACACGCGAGGACAGCAGTGCTCGTCAGTCGCTTGGCCTAGCTCCACTTTCCGAGCTCCCAAGTCTGCGCAGTGATTCGCCCTCTTTTAGTCAGGTGAAAGCAGATACTGGGACAGAAGCGACTGCATCTCGAGCAACTACTCGCAATGATGGAGCAGCTATGCCCTCCCGTCCACCACGCTCTGCGCGGCGCGCATCTGCTTTGCCGGCTGCACATTTGGTCAACAACGCACTTCTGGACGGACTGCAGGTCTTCGAGACGCAGCAAGACGACGACGCGCAAGGAAGCCATCCTGTTTCCGCCCTACCTCAGCAGCGAGAGAACTCGGCTACTTTGACGGCACGCTTTGCGGATCGTTTGCAAGCCACGCCATCCAGAGCCGCTACGGACAATGAACAAAATCAACTAGTAAGGGATCGCCCAGCACCGGATGCCATGGTTGGGCCAGAATCAAAGCGTGCCTCTGAGCTACCAACAGCCGAAGCGCAGCCTCCAGAAACGAGCAGCAACTTCCGAGCCAGCGCATACTCGATCATTGCAGTCGAGGTTGAAAGCGATGAAGAAACGCCCCTGCCACTTTCTGAAGTCAGCAAAGCCTTGGACGAGCTCGACGGCCAGTGTGCTCAACTCGGCGTCATCGATTCTGAAGCCGACGGCGTTTCGTGGGAGATGGTCACGAGTAACATTGCAGAGGCTTCTCCACAAGTCGGCGAGCCAGTCTTTGAAGCCTGCGAAGAGGAATTCCTGGAGCGTTGCCAAGAACGGATGTCTGCTGTTGAGGAATGGCGGGCTTCTGCCCAGAATTTCGGCCTTGATGGCGAGCCGTGGTCGACCCCGCCGCAGGGCGAGATCCCAAGTGTTGAAGACCCTGGCGAGAGTATCAGCACTCGTTCGGCGAATCTATCGCCCAGCTCGAATGCGTTGTATGAACAGGACCAAGACGAGATCATCGAATGCACCCTCGCCGAGATGCAAGAAGCTGTCTCTGACCACCAGGCCAAACAGCATCATCAAAGCTGGCGTCCCGGCGTGCACGGAGAGATCGCAGCAAGCGTGACCGCCGTACAGCGAGCTGAACTAGTCTCCACGGTGCCCAGCGAAGCGGTCATCACCTCCGTCGCACCTCTTGCGGCCGTTTCCGATACAATCTTGGACAGGCAAGAGACATCTGCAGACGAATTAACGCCCCTTCCTGGAGCTTTCCCGATCAGCGGATTGCAGGAAGCCAAAAGCGAGGTAGGTAATTCCAAAGCGTTTCTCGCTGGACTTGGACTCCTCTTTGCAGATGTGCCAGAAGCACTCACGGGTGCAGCTTTACTGGCGCCCGAGACGATTGAAGAAATCGACGCGAACAGTCAAGGCAGCGTCAGCAACAGCTCGGACGAATTTGAGAGTGCAGACGAAGGCGAAGAGCACGACTGGCGCACCCGAAGACATTCTCGCCAATCCAAGACAGTGTCGTGGCTGGAAGCTGCCAGTTCGTTCGAGCGGAAACATGGTTGTGCTAGAGGGGCCAATGGCTGGCGCACATCCGTCCGCTTCAGTGCCGATGCCCGACGCTCGGTCTTGCGGGGAGACTCAACAAGCAAGAGGATGTCTCGCGCTCTTGCGTCGACAACTCACTCCCCGCTGCTCTCTGCGCTCATTGAAGCGGATCAATCTGCCGACCTTCAGCCTGGTGAAGCTCCATTCCAGAGCGCGTGTCACAACGAAATTCTGCAGCTCGCAACAGACCGGGGCTCGAGCGCAGCGATGGAGGCAAATCATGAACCAAGCTCTCCTCCCCTTGACTGCACTATGGATCACTCGGAACCTATCTCCACTGATCTCGACCTACCTCCTGAGATGCAACATAATGGCCCATTTGTAGCGTTGCCAGGCTTCTCGAAACACCAAGAAAAAGACCCTGCTGGAGCGCGTGGCGCCCATCAAGATAACCTTGCGGTTCCGCATGACGACGATGAGGAGACAATCGGTCGGCGCGAGGGGCCGATCCGTGCTCGCTCCGCTTTAGGCCACGGAGAGGCGTATCCAACAGGCACTGAGCAGCGAGCCGCACGTCGAGCATCTCGGCGGATGTCGGCGAACGCCATGCCATTTGCCAGGCGAACGTCCCGACGCGATAGTGCGGGTCACTCTCTGAAGCTCGCGGCCATCATTAGCAACACTCCGATACAGCTAGTGGATACACCCGGAGGCTCTTCTTGGCGATCGTCCTTACCCGCGCGTACCTGGTCGCAGCTCTTGGCCCAGTTCGGGCCGAAGGAGATGCACCGCCAGGAAGTCATTTGGGAATTGTGCTCGACCGAGCGATCCTTTGTGCAGAATCTCGCTAGCATCTTGAAAGTCTTCGCGGTGCCGCTGCGCGACTATCAAGGCCACTGGGAACGTGGCACGCCCAAGCTGATGGCTAGAATATTTGATTGGCTTGAGAGCATCCTGCAGCTCCACATCAAAATCTCCACGTCATTTGACACGGCCAGGGCATCCCATGCCACGCCAGTCATCTTACAGATTGCTGCCGCTGTCCTACGACACGTAGAAGCTCTCGTCGTTCATCTACCCTACCTGGTGCGCTTCGAAGAGGCCAACGCTCTGTTGGAGCAGATACTGCATGCCTCAGATCCTCTGCCGTTTGCCTCTTTTGTTCAAGACCAGCTACGGCTGCAGGAGTGTGGCTCCATGAGCCTGGGCAGCTTCTTGCTAAAGCCTATACAACGTCTCATGAAATATCCACTGTTCTTCAAGGTGAGCAGCGTTGACCCCGAGTAGCATTGTAAGCACCCATCTCATGCCTTCTTCTCTCCCCGCACAGCAACTGCTTGAGCTTACACCTCCGGATCATCCCGATTACGACGAGACTTGCGAGCTCTCGCAGAGCACAGAGGCTCTCATCCGGGACATGAACAACGTCAAAGCTAGAGAGGAAGATTATTCCACTCTGCTTTCCCTGGAGAAGCGCATTCGTGGACTACCTCATGGCTTTGACCTCGCTTCGCGTTACCGAGGTTTGCTTCGAGAAGGCAAGCTTAGGTGGGTGCAGCTCAGCGATGCTCAGAGAAACCAAGTGTCTGGCGACTCTAGAGCTTCATCTCCACGTATTCCCAAAATGGAAGGGGACGCCAGACCATCTTCATCGAGCGGATTCCGGCCACTGAGCTTGGCCGCCAAGCATAGCCCCACCGCACGAGGTTCTCCAGATCTACGTGGATCGAAACACTCTTCCGGGGATAGCGCTTCTGGTACCTCTGTAACGTCATCTGCCCTAGCGCACCCATCTCGATCATCCACGAGCTCGGACGGCTTCTTTCATAGCCCTGTTGTTGGGCCCTTCAACGCATCAAGCTATTCACCGGGCGCTCTGTCATCAGGAGCTGGTCTTGCTTCCCGTACAGAAAAGCTTCATGTCACTCCACTTGCACCGCCAAGACCCATGAGCCGCAAGTCAAGTGTGGCGAATCTCTTCTTGCGGGCAAGCGGCAGATCTGCAGAGAAAGAAAAGGCACGTTCAAGTGAAAGCACAGGCATCGACGTCCACGCTTTTGTGCTATCAGATGCAGTCATTCTGACTGTGCAAGATGCCGATGTCGTGGCGGATGCAAAGCCAACCTCGCCTCTGGTCGCATCTGGCAAGAGCAAAAGCAAAGAAAAACTTCGTCGCAACTCATGGTCGGCGCCAACAATACCTAAGGAGCAGGAGCGTTTCACCTTGATCTCAGACTTGGGACTCGTGCGCATCTTGAATGTCATCGACCGCTCTGGTCGATCCAGTGGTGAGAAGTCGCGATTTCAGAGCTTCACGTGATCCCGACTGTTGCTGACGTCATCGAGCCGTCGTCACAGACTTTCCAAACTTGCTGGAAGTTGAAGTGCTGCCCATCAAAGCTGAGCGCGCCGTGCTCGGCGGCCCCAGTAAGCACAAGGCGATCGGAGGTCCCGCGACGCTATTCTTCTCATTTTCTTCAGACGATACGCCTGCCACTCGGCGCCTATCCCAGACGCCGGAGCTCATCTGCACTGCGTGGTATCGGGCTTTGGAGAGGTCACTGGTCGCTTGCATTCACTCTGCCAGACTCAGCTCTGGCTCGACTACAGTGATGGGCACGAAGCCTCAGTCCGCCCATGCCGAGTGGCCTAGGCGCAAGGATCAGGTCACTCGGCTCGTCATGGCAGCAGCTCAAAGCGGCGACCGGGAAAATCTTGTCGCGCTTCTGCAATCAGGCTTACCGTATCCACGGTCTCCTTCACATCAAGACCTGGCTGACAGAGCCAGCGAAGTGCTCAACAAGACGACATCTCAAGAAGGCCGTCAGAGTCTTGCCGTCAACGTCAGGGGTGCCAACAGCATCTCCGTGGTCGGCAGCAGTGTTCTCGACGATGTCGAAGAAGAGCGAGAAGAGCGCCGATGGTGGGCACTCCGGTTGTCCGAAGTTCGAAACGATCTGAATGCGGAGAAGGAAATCGACGCCATGATTGAAGCGCGCGCAGCTGCTTTTTCGAATTTGTGGGCGACGGGGAACATGTCTCCCGCGAGCAACACGTCACCACTTGTCGGCTCGAGAGATGAGATGACGCCACCCAGACGTAGCGTACGTCGAGGCGTGCCCATCTTACCAGCCACAACCACAAGACAAGCGCCTTTGCGCAGCGCCGCCCCGTATTCCGCGGTCGAGCGCTGAAGATTGCCTCGCATCCACGTTTCCTGCTGCTTGGCAGCTCCAGTGCCTCTTATACTTTCCCTTTTTCATTGTAGCCATCTCGACTCTTGCGTCACCTCTCGCTTTCTCACATTGGCAGGCGCCCGCGCATCATGTCTCACTTTGCCCCACGCTTCGCGCATCACACACTCTTTGGGCTCGAACGTGCTTGCCAGCCTCGTTGTCAGCGGTTCGAGCCTTTTACAATGGATGCTTTTGACACCAGCCACTACACTACCAAGTATGGATGGCGCCTTCGAGGAGAAGTCTCACGGTGGTGAAGATCCTCCAAACAGTAGCAGCGGAGGCTCAGCGCCGCTAGGCGTGAGAGTGTAACCCAGCACCTTTCTCCGCACTTCCCGAGCACCAAGCTCGAAGTTCAATCAATTGAGAGGAGGAGGACCTCTTTGAAACCTCATTCGAGCCAGTCAGCCAATATGATTACCGCGGAAATGCGGGGATTCTGCGCGCAGTACTAGTAGCAGCAGGGGAAACGTCCGGAAGTCCTTCGTCGTCGCTGAGCTTGACTCCGGCTGGGCACGTCAGCTCTGAAGCATCCGTCGAGATTCTACGCACGTCAAGACCTCGAAGGAGATGCCATATATAAGAACTCTTGGACGAAAGTCGCGCACAGTGATGTTTTGCAGAACGCTTTAAAGACCATTTTTGAATGCACTGCGAACGGTCACGACAAGAGCATTCGGCCTTTCCTTGGGCAGGTCGATTGTGACCACCATATCGTACCTACAAATCGTCCTGATCGAAGCCCAACGCAGTCGCCAAGCTTGTCGACATGCGCTCATTTGCAGCGCCTCTGCTTCTAGGTTCGCTTGCCTCCATCAGAGCGCTGCCACTGGGAGACAGGTGAGTATAGCGAGACGCAGCAGATGGGCAATGGGCTGGCCTTTGTCGATCAGCATCATGCCGATGACACATACGACCATGATCTTCAGCTCCGTTCTAGATCGCTTTGTGAGTCGTCGTAAGGTACGTTGTGCTTGACATGCTATTGCGTCTCGGTCGTTGACCCATCAAGAGCGGGTGACGTGGCAGATTGAGCAAGCACCAAGCATCGTCCATTGGAGGGACGCCCATGGCAAAGTTCGTCATACGATGGACGTGAAAAGCAGAAACTTTTCCCGTTTCAGCTACGAGGACAGGCCGGTAAGTATGACCTCGGCCAATTGGCATCCCATCGTGAGTTCCTGCGGAAGCGATGCGCGTGGGATGTTTTGCAAAAGAACAACGTCTATGGTGTGTCTTGAGGTGACGCGTGGATGAGTAGGCCAGCATCTCATTCTGCCTGTTCTTGCTTGCTTCATTCGTGATTGACTGGCAGTACAAGAACGCACAGAGAAACGGATTGAAGGCTGAAGGTGTGACTGAGAGCGGAGCAAAGGTGCACTGGGATGGATCTTCGTGGACTGAAGAGGACTAAGCGCATGTGCCAGACAATTCCAAACCTGAAGGCGACATTCAGATTGAAAGAGAATAGAAAATGTCTACCTTTGCGTTGCAAGTTCGAGTCAAAGTCTGAGGAGCAGACAGGATTGAGAAGGGGAACATCTTCTGTGCTGATTTGACCGATAGCTTGCAGGCGATTCGTTCGATTCGGTGGATCCGTGACAAGATTCGTGATTGGCCTCTGCGTGGCTTCTATCGCTCAGACTCTGACTGATCGATTCACGTGATTGCAGACACAGCATGCACGCTCCACGAAGCCTGCGAATCACGAATGCGGTACGGTACATGCCTTTGCGAGTTACGGCGCTCAAAACACTTTTGACTGGCACGATCAGGAGCGCAAAGGAGACGTGTGGGCAAGGCAAAGCGCTAGCAGCTTGTACTTTCTCGACTCGTGATCGAGTCAGAAAGCCACGAAGGTGCAGGCAGGCTGTTCGGGACGCGTCACGTGCGGCGTTTGTGCGCTTCTGCTGTACGGACAGCATATATGCTGCTGGAGGCGCGCCGCGCGATGAGCGAGCCAATGAATCAGAATGATGCCGCGCCGCGCCCACGTGGCATTGAGCCTTGCGCATGGGCGGAATTGCTGCAGCTGATGCTTTGAATCGTGAATATCCAGGCGTGCGATCGCGCCTCTTGATGATTTCGCAATTTGGCCTTGCGTTGCATCTCAGACTTTCAGAAGGCCTTTCTTTCCTTTGGATATTGTAATTCGGTATTCAGAGATTCCGCTTATTTAGTGATTCTGATTGCAAGACTCGAATGGCATCTTGAGCGACCAGCATACGCCTTCGCCTTTAGCACCAAGTCCGACGAGGTGAGCAATCAGCAGCTACACATCTCAGCCAGTCCCAACAAAAGTAGCACGCACGCAGCACAGCAAAGCAAAGCGCACCTCGAACCCTTTCTCTCCCCGCTCCATCCTCACACAACCATCTCAAACTTGTCAGTCAGTCTCCAGCAGCAATATGCGCTTCTACGAAAAGACGCTTCCGGACGCGGAGGATGTGGTGATGGTGCAAGTACGGCAAATAGCAGAGATGGGAGCTTACGTCAAGCTTTTGGAGTACGATGGTGTGGAAGGGATGATCTTGCTATCCGAACTTAGCAGACGTAGAATCAGATCCATTCAAAAGCTGATCAGGGTGGGCAGAAACGAGGTGGTGGTGGTGCTGAGGGTAGACAAGGATAAGGGTGAGTGGAAGGTTGGGAGTCAAATGATCAGGCAATACAGCATATCCGTCAATGGCGTGTATGCAGCGGCGTCCCGGACGCTGAGCTGGTGGTGTGTGGGAACAGGTTTGGACGCAGCGCTGCTGGCTTCGAGGTGCAGAGAGCGCATCGCGCTGCTGCTCAAACACGGGCATAGCAGCGCTGCGTCAAGAGCACAAGCAACACGATACGCTGACACTCGACACTCCTTGGCTGCATGGCGCAGGCTATATCGACTTGTCCAAGCGTCGAGTGTCTCCAGAGGATATCATTCGCTGCGAGGAGAGATTTAACAAGAGCAAGGCTGTGCACAGTATTCTTGCGCACGTGTCTGGGAAACTCAACAAACCTCTAGAGGAGCTGTACGAGGCCATCAGTTGGCCATTGGATAAAAAGTTTGGACATGCGTATGACGCTTTCAAGCTCGCTGTCACGTAAGTATGCCGGGCGCGGGGTGCAGGAGGTGGCGCAGCGAAGGTCGGCATGTCCTTCGTACGGCACTGAACGGACCTTCTCTCCCCGGCTTTTTCGGCAACAGAGAGTCCGAGACTGTGTTTGCCGGTCTGGAGTTGGACGCCGATGTGCAAAGAGAGTTGCAAGCAAATATTGCTCGTCGAATGACGCCTCAGCCCGTCAAGATCCGAGCAGATGTGGAAGTGACGTGTTACAATGCGGCCGGTATAGATGGTATCAAATCGGCGTTGCAAGCTGCAGAGGATTTGCAAACGGAAGAGATTCCGATCAAGGTCAAGTTGATCGCTCCTCCCCTCTATGTGCTCATCACCAATTCGACGGACAAGCAAGGCGGTATAGATCTGCTGAAAAAGGCCCTCACAACCATCGATGCGAGCATTAAGAAGAGCGGAGGAAATCTGGCTGTCAAGATGGAGGTGAGTCCATACTTGCGCTACGCTACCTTGACACTGACCAGTAGCTGATGCGCCTTGATCGCCTTGCGCGCGTCTGTCCTTTTCGTGCAGCCCAAGGCCGTGTCCGAGTCAGAAGATCAGGAGTTGGAGAGGCTTTTGCAGAGAGTGGAGAAGGAGAATGAGCAAGTGGCTGGAGACGACGAGTGAGTCGGGCTGCGGGCATCAGAAACGCATGGGTTGTTCTTGCTTGTCTCATCATTTTTGTTGCTCGTCATCTTACCCTGCGCCGTCTTTCACAGCGACTCGGACGACGAGGAATAAGCTCACGAAGCCATACGCAGTGCGGGTGTGCGGTCTCCCCTGCAAGTGCAGCTGAATGGCTGTTGATGTGCCCTACCGACTGTACACGTAGTCACAAAGAAGAAGCGCTTGTTTCACCCTCATTTTGCTGCTCTGCTACTCGGACTGCGGCCGTCTCGCGCAGGGGCGGCTCTTTCCGCCTCCAAGACGGCGTGGTCAAGAGAGGAAGCGGACGGTCTATGAGCCTGCATTGGTGCGATGATACGTGTCATTCTAAGATCAGGATCAAAAGCAGAAAATAGAGCAGTTGATGATATCAGGTCGTCTAGAGAGGTTACAGGCGTCGTCGAGAGAGGGGAACAGACAATTTTGGGCAGGGCATTTGGTAGCACGATGCTTCTGTGAATGCAGAAGAGGAAGGGAAACACGTCGTCTACACTTTCGCCTCGGTCAATGGGGAAGCCGTAGACTCTGCATTCTTGAGCTTCGGACTGTCGGTGAGGCTTCCAGAGGGCGAAGGTGCTTGTTCGAGCTGAGGCGTGTCGTGCTGCGTTTTGCTCTTTGGATGAGAACGCGCAGCAGCCTCTCCCTTGAGGAGGCTCTTGACGATAAAGGCGATGGTGTGCCTTCCCTGGTACACGGGCAGGATAGCAATGACGAGCAGAGTGATAAAGAGCCAGATGAGACTGACGGTGATCCAACCCTTGAAGAAGGGCAAGCTGAAAGTGTAATCGACGTACATGCCGAATGGCCAGACGACCCAAACGGCGAGGATCAAAAAGATGCCTGCAAATGCTGCAACCTTGGACATTTTCTTCATGTAAGCTTCTTGAGAAGCCGTGAAAGCTCCCTCTTCGTTCTTTTCCGAGTCGTTGATCGAATCGTCGTCGCGAATGAGCTTGATGTCGCTGAACCTCTCCCACTGCCACGCGTTGCTGTCTGGGAAGGCGTAGCTGAGAATGGGGGCGAGGATGCATGGGACAAAGAAGGAGACAATGTTGCCCCACATGCAAGGGATCAGCGCACCGGTGGTGGTGACGTTGAGAATACCATCACCGTAGTGGTAAGCTGTGCTGATCCAAGTAGCCAGACCAGCGGCGAGACCGATCAGGGGCGCAGCGATGGCTGCCACCTTGCTCTGTTTGCGCCAGATGACGGTACCGGCAGTGGTGAAGCATCCGGGGCAGACAATGACACCCAAGAAGTACAGCGTCCAGGTAAGGGACAGACCAATGTGGTAGAAGACCACCGATACTGCGCAAGCGACGAGGGCAAAGCCAATGCACGCTAGGCGAGAGACCAAGATGATGCTCTTTTCGGTCGCCTTGGGATTGATGTAGGTGTGGTAGACGTCGCTGCTGATGATGGATGAGACTGCGATCAGTTGGGCAGAAACGGTGCTGGTGACGGCAAAGAAGATGAGCCAAACCACCGCCACCGCCCCACCTTTGCCAGCTGTGGCAAGAGCGACGTATGCCAAAGGCAGACCGTTTGCGGTCTCGGAATCCGTCAGCTTTCGTCCGACAGCTGGCCAGATCGGGTTGTTGCCCAGACTGAGGGCGGTCGCTCCCGCAATGGTGCCGAGGCACCAAGGAATTCCAAAGTAGAGGATTCCTCCAAGGATGTAGCCGGGCGTAGCTGCAGCGACAGAAGCCGAGAAGGCCTTTTGCCAGTAGGAGGAGTCCATGATGACCAGACCAAAGTTTCCCAGGGTGTGAACAGCTCCGAATGCGATGCCCATCTGACTCTTCATGGTGAGGTAAGATCCGTTGTAATTACCTTCGACGGGCGAACTCTCGGCCAGCGCGGTGACGTTGCGCCAGATTGTGTCCAGGCCACCGACGGCGGGATTGGTAATGGCCTTGACGGACAAGTAGATGCAGATGATGAGGAGAGGCACAGTGTGGGCGTAGTCGGTGATGAAGGTAGCCTTGAGGCCACCGCTCAGCGTGTAGCCCACCACTCCGACGGGAAGCAGGAAGATGGCAGCTTCGATGGCTTGACCCGTAAGAGCGCTAATGGTGGCACTCGCACCGAGGAACATGTTGATGGATGCGATGAGGTTGGTAATGAGCGCCAACACCATGTAGATCAAGTGCGCCGTAGTTCCGTATCGAGCCTTTACGATTTCGAGCATGGTGTGAGCATGAGGTGTCCTCCTCTTGGATTGGATGGCGAGCAGAGCAAAAAAGCTGATCTGGACGAGACATCCAGCAGCGAACATGAAGGAACCTTGGACACCGTAGGTGTACATGACAACAGAGGAAGATAGCAGAGCCGTGGACCACGCCCATGATGAGACCACAGCTGTTGCTGTCAATCCCAAGCCGATGGTACGACCGGCGGTAGCGTAGGTCTCGAACTTGGAATTGTCTTCACCGTTGTACTTCTTCAGAAGCCTAGTGATGAAGTACATGCCTGCGGCGAAGGCCAGACCGACACCGAGGAGGATACCGTAGGCCCATCCCTGGGAGATGGGCGGGGTGATGCCTTGGGAGACATCCATCTTGACCCGCTTCAAGTACGCACGACGGAGAGGGGCAATGACGAGGCTGACGGGTGTACTCGTTCGGAAGGAAATGATCTGAGGGGACAGAGGGGGGAGACTTTTCGAACAATTGGTTCTTGGGTTTGCTTTGAGCGTCTGCAGTTGGGTAAGAGGAGGCACGAACTGCATCGAATGCTGCTGCCCCTGCACCGTTTGGGCATCGCGAGCAGCAATCTCGGTCCGAGTCAGTGAGTCAGTAAGTCCTCTGTTGTGTGATGCCGTAGCGGATTCTCGGATTCAGAAGATGTAAAAAATGTCATCGTACGTGTTCGTGCTGCACTACTAGTGCTTGCTAGTCTCTGAGAGCAAGGGATATCCAAGATCTGAGGGTGCCGAGGTGAGGCGCCCGAACATTCGATGCTGTACTCGTGACGCGGGCGAGCGTCGATCGCGTCGGCTTGTTTGGCAGCATCGATACGAAGCCCCAAAGCAAGGTTGCAAGTCCAGGAAAAGCAATAATCACGAGCTTTCCGTTTGCTGCACCCCTGGTCTTGTAGATCGTCGTGGCTGCAGCTGCTTCCATTGGCATGTGAACCCTCCATCGTCCTGCTGTGCGCGTGCCGAAGAACCTGGGGGTACGTGTGCGCGCAACGTAGCTCGAAAAGGCACCAGAGGAGTGTGTTTGAATGCGACTCACAAGCGACACCCTTTGCTTTTGCTTTTATTAACCCTCACGACTCCTGCTTGTGGAGGCTTGGATGGCTTGCTTTGCCGACGGCCTTGCGGTTAAGATGCCTGGTGCCGACGCGCCATGGCAGAGATGAGCTACAAAATGGCACGTCGAAGCGGTGACGTGATCGCCGATACAGATGGTGTCACGCCTTCCGACGCGCATGCCCTCCGCAATAAGGCGCGCTAGTGAAAGCCGAATGCTTGATTGTAAATACTTCTTTTTTATGGCTGAATACACTTTCGGCACTTAATGCAAACGCGCCCGCCGCTTGCTTCTGATCTGTGCGCTTTCCATAATCTCCAGCAGCTGCTGCATGCATGCGCGCGGCTTGATTCGCGATAGCGGGTGTATGATTCACGTGATTGTGCTTTGGTTTCAAATTGCGGGATGACGAGCTTTGTTGGAGTCCTTGCATCAACTCCATTGGCCACACTCAAACTCACTCAACTGGGCACTCGATCCGCATGCAGTAACAAGCAGCAGCGCCATGTGAGACAAATCACGAATCTGAATGTTGAATGCGAGCCCAAACAACTCGACTTTTGCCTAGCTGAAGCTCACCGGGTTGATACACGACGCTTGCAGAGAAAAGGTCGAGAATGATCTGCGCTCGCTGCCAGTCGAAGCTAGACACGTGACGACGCAAAAAAATGCTTGGTTTCAAAATTCTTCATTCACGTGATTCAAGGTTGGTGATCGTATACGAGCTGAAGTCCAACCTCGGTGCCGAGCCCCCGCTTTTCATGCGGGGTCAGGCGGCAGGCGTGCTGGGTGAGGCGGGAGATGCGAAACCGAGCGGGCAGGCAGCGCACGTTTCACGCGAATCGAGCGTGAGAAAGTCATCACGAAAGTAGAATCTGAATTAGAACCTGAATTTGCTGTGCTGCTAGCCTGCGACTGCAGTCTGTGAGTGCATCGTGAATGTGGGGGCTTGGCTGGCTTGCGATGCCCATGCATGCATGCAGCATGCCGACCCGACGTCGACTTGGCTGACGATGAGGATTACGGAAGCGTTGAACGGAGAGGCGGTACATGTGCGCGTATGAACAACGCTCTTCGATCATGAAAGCCGTCAGTGAGGGGTGATCTCAGCTACAGTCCGAGTATACCTTTGGTTCACGAGTCACACTCGCGACTCGCACTTTTCGTATGACGTCTGTGCTTTGCGCTTCTTCTCTCTAGCCACCCAGAACACAAAGCAAGAATCAGAATGGTGACTGCAGACGGTCTGGTGCACGTCGCCAGTCGATTGACGAGCCCCACAGCTTCGCCCTTGGCCTACGTGGGCCTAGCTGCCGTGCTGTCCGTCAAGGTGCGAGATGCGCTCAACTCATTGATCTACTTTCCCACAAGGGACAATGCCAAAGGTGTGCTTGGCGTCCTCTGGCGAGCTTTGAATGACAATGCTTGGCTGAAGGTGAGCTTGGAATGTGGACCAACGATGAGAAGCCTCCAAGGCCTTTGCAGCTCAAAGAGACGCTTCTCGGTCGTCATTCCCCCTCGCCTCGCTCTACTCGCAGGTCTTCGTCGCCGTCTCTGCGATCAGACTCATCAACCGGCTCGGTCAACGCATCATCTACGACCGAGCAGCGTCGCGCACCATCCAATGGTCCGAGCACGTCGTGGTCATCAGTGGAGGAGCAAGAGGAATCGGAGGAGGATTGGCGGAAAAGTTGGCGGATAAAGGTGCCAAAGTCGTCACGATTGACAAGTTGGAGAGGACGGATCATGCGAGGGAAGATTTGCACATTGTCGCCGATGTCACTAGCGAGGAAGAACTGCTCGCGGCTCGAGCGCAAGTTCACGAAAAGTTTGGCCTGGTCAGGTGAGTGAGGAGGGGTGGGAATGCTTTTGCTTGCGTGATTTTCGCAGCAGGGCTGCATTCAAATTGAATCCGGTGTGGCTCTTGCGCCTCTGCAGCTTCGTTGTCTCGTGCGCTGGCATCGCTCGTCACTGCATGGTGCTCGACCCTCCAGAGCAATTCCCCACATCCTACTCTACAGCCGTTCACAGAGTCAACATCGATGGTGAGGTGATGCGTCATTCGAGATCGCAGGCATTCATTACTGAGAGCGTGGCTCCTGCGATGCGATCTGCAGGCACGTACACTTTCGTGAAGGTCTTTGGTCAAGATCTACTACCAGCGTACAATAAGGGTCAGCTCCGAGTGGAGGGAGGGCAGCCCGCAAATGGATTCGGTGAGCGAAGAGCGCTTTGCCGCTGCTCCAGTCCATCAATGTCAGCTAACGAAGGTCTCAACATGCTTCACATACACGTCAGGCGGACACATCCTCATGATTGCCAGCGGAGCCCCGTACTCTCCGTGAGTCGGCCGCCCGGGATATGGGCTGACAAACGTCCGCGGACGCTGACCACCCTTACTCCGTGCACCTTTCCCTCTGTCAGTCTCCCCGCCAACGCTTCTTAGTGAGTGCAAAAATTTCTCATCGCGAATAGAGGCAGTCTGTGAAAGCTGACTCTTTCCGCATTTCCGACTCATCAGCAATCTATCGAAAGCAGGCGTCATCACGTTGTGGCAATCTATGAACTTCGAGCTGGACGCGTGGCACAAGACGAACAATGTGCGAAGCAGCATCATCTGCCCCTTGATGGTGCACAGCAAGATGACGGAAGGACGCATGCTGGAGCAAAAGAATCAATTCCTCTTTCCTACGCTCACCATCGACAAGGTTGCCGAGCGCATGGTGGACATTCTGGAAAAGGATCAGAGCGTTCAGGTTCATCTGCCCGCTGCCGCTTATGCCATCTCTTTGATCTCGGTGAGTCGCGAGTGCTTGACCTGCCTATCCTTCTGTAGCCATGCCGACCTAGAGGCACAGCTGCAGACGCGGCAATGCAGCGCGATCCTGGCATCCTTCCTCACCATATCCACCCCCCTCTCCTTTTTTGCGCATCGTGCAACCCATCCAGCCAAACACTCCTCCTTACTTCATGCGGGCAATCTACAAAGCGTTGGGCGCTCACCAGACCTTGTGAGTGGCTTTGTCAGCGCAAGCAAGACAGTCTGTGGGTGCAAGTCGGCTGATTCTCGCGTTGCATCCCATGCACAAAGCATGCAATGGGCTGCCAAGGAGCGCAATCCGGTCGCGGATCATTAATCGAGCTTACTCTTGTGTGCAAGGCTCTTAGCTGCTATTATGATGCCTCACAATTTCGAAAAGCCGTCGCACTACGAGATGGGCGAATTCTGCGCATTCAACGTCGTTCTATCCATCCATTCCCTTCTCTTCCACCGCTTCCGCAGCAATTTCAACATTCAAGCTCGCAGTGCTTGCGCGTTCCACCGACATTGCCCCTTCTCGGTAATTTTTAAAATGCGTCACACCAATTTGAATCAGCGTGCGAGATTGCGATCGCGGGTGCAAATGGAACTCAATTGCAGACAGAACTTCGAGACCTGGAGAGCGAGTTGGATAGAAATACGAAGTGAGATGCCTGGCAGTCGTGAGTGAAATGTATAGTGATGACGGTAGAGGAGTAAACGATTCTCTAAAAAGGGGAGGGGAATGGTCGTAGGGTATAGATGTGGAAATCGCCTTTTTGAACAGGCCGCGAAAAAGATTGCGGGAGCAAAGGAAAGAGCGTAGAAAATTCCGAGACGATTCATCAAAAAGACAGAACTTTTTGTCGTGGAGCCAAGCACGATCGCGATTCGCGATGGCCTGTTCGAAACTTGGGCAAAGCGTGGCTGTTCGCAAGCTGCGCTTTCACCACAGGACAAAATCGTCGCCCCTCCTTTGAACTTCCATGCGCCTTCGCAGCTGGTTCACCCACCTCTTTCTCCTCTGACCTTCCACCTGCTCCACCTCTAGCGGCCTGACGTCGAAAGACTTGCCCGTCATATCGGGGGGCAAAGGCGGAACGAATTTGAGCAACTGTTGCAAGTCGAGCGCATTGATGGTCCTGCTCGTAGCGTCCTCCATCAAGCTCTGTTGTCTGCTTCTCGCGGCACCATCCACGCTGTCCAAGTCTACGCTCGGATCTTCCAGCACACCGGCCGAAACGCCGGCCAGTCTAGCTTCGTCTAGTCCGTCCGCATCCTTGCCGTTGATGGCACGCCTCACCGCCCGGATTATGGCTCGCCTAGCGGCTGCTCTAGCTCGCTGAGCTCGAGTTTGCTCCATCGCATCCTCATCTTCTCGGCCGGAGACTCCGGCATCTGCATCCGTCTCTTCAGCGCTTGTAGAGTCCTCCGAAGCACCCAGACTAGCCCTGCGCCCAGCACCCTCGTCGTTAGACTTGGCTGTAGCAGCCGCGGCGGCAGCGGCGGCCCTCAGTCGGGCGCCTGCTTCCGCTTCTGCCTCGAATTGAGCTCTCCAAGTGTTGGGTGCAGAAATCCAGACTTTTCTGACCGCATCGGCTACCAGTCTCCTAGCGCGGTCTTTCGCCTCTGCAGGCGATCTGATGGCCAAAAAGGGTTCGCGAGCGCCTGGACCAGCATCGATGGGCGGGACTGGAGCGGTAAAGAGCCTTTGCTTCGATTTGTTCTCGTGTAGAGCCGAGGGTGGACCTTGCATCGAGTGCCTTCTGAACGAGTGTGGGGATGGCCGAACGTCCAAAGAGCTCGAAGAAGCTTCTCCATCAATGCTACGTCGAGTCGAGGGCGCCGACAAAGCAGAAACTTCGCTGGAGCTAGAAGCAGTCGAAGCTCTCCTGACACCGATTCCGCTCCCGAAGGAGGAGGACAGCAGGGAAGCGTTCTCCCCCGCTGAATCTTCTGCGTCTCCCGTTGACCACCCGTCCGTCTCTGCTCCGGCTATAGCAGCTTTGCGACGCTCGGCTGCGGCTTTGGCTGCGCGTCGCCTGCGAACCATGTCGATAGGAGCCCTTCCCGCTGCTGCTGCCCTTGCAAACGCGGCATGCAGCGCTACAGGGGCAGTGTATCCGAAGGGAGATTCAGCTCGAGCAGGTGGAGTGACGCTGCCAGGCGTGGCAGCTGGCGTGTTGAGCGCACTGCTGGTATCGGGGGGCGCGAGGCCGTTCATGAGCTGTCCAAATCCAGAAAAGTACCCCTCTTCCTTTCTAGCAGCGGACAATCTCCTGCCAGCCTCGTTGAGCATGGGCGCTCTCTCCTTCTTCTCCGCCGCGCGCCTCTTCATTCGTCGCCGGACGCTCATGATGCATTTGTAGCCCCACCAGAGATGCATCGGGTAAGTCGCGATGATGCTGTTGGCGACACCCCAGCTACCATCTATGCCTGGTGTGGCTCTTCCATGGGCCGTGACGCTAGCGCAAAGCAAGCCAAAGTGGAAAAAGACGCGAGTGATGAAAAAGGTAATGGTAAAGGCGTTGTTGGAACGTGTCTGAGGCACGAGCGAAGCCAAGCCCATGATGAAAGTCGGCAACTCGAACACGCAAGCCATGACGGCGTACAATGCCCAACCTCGGTGAACCCAGTAAGCAAAGAGGAGAGTGTATGCAGTGTGATGTGCCCAGCCAGACGAAAAGTTGATGAGCTTGCGATAGAAGATGGATCCTAATCCCAGGTCGGACAGCAGGTATGCGACGAAGAAAGCAGAAGCTGGTTCTTCCAGCCAGCGTCTGTGCTTGACCGCGTGGAAATCAAAGCCGGAGAGCAAGAGATCGAAGAGAAAGGGAAGACTTGCTAGCGTCATTACCAAACCGTTGAAAGTGGTGAGGATCCATGCTCGCTTCTTGAGCATGTCTTTGCCTTCTCCTTTGAACGTTGTGGCGCTCAAAGTGTGGAACAAGCTGTGCTGGATGAGCAGCGAGGCGTAAAAGGCTTGATGGAGAGACTCGTCTCTCAACAAGGACCCTTCAGGCACGATCGACACCATGCTGGGCATTGCGAATGGAAGCGAAATCATGATGGCGCAGTGCTCGGCTCCGCAGGGAGCAGTGGTGGTGATCGGGGTCTAGATGATCGTAAGGAGCAGGAGTGTGGGGCCGTGTCTGCGACGTCTTGTATCGGGCGCGGCTGTGAGGCAGACAGCTCGGTCGTGTGACGTGAGGTGGGTATGAGTCGACTCAGACGCGCTCTGCTCGCGCAAGTCTCGACAGCAAGTCTAATGCGTCATGTCGAGCAAGTTGCAGTCAGAGCCTGGTTGTGCGGTGCTCGGAAGCGGGCTCAGATCAAGGATTAGTTGCGGGGTGATGGATGCGCTAGCTATAGCAGCGGTATATAGCGGTATAGCGCCCCCGCTGTGCTGCGCTGCGCTGCCGATTCGCGTTGCCGTTCGAGCACTCGAGTAGACTCGTGATGAGGTCCTTCGATCAGCAGCAGCAAGAGTCGCGAGTATATGAATCTCCGCGAACGATGCTGCCGCTGGTCTCAAAGAGGCACGTTGCCGAAAGCTCAAGATGTTTCAGATAGTTTCGTTGGTCGAGAAAGGCGGACCACATGTGTAGCACGTTCGATGTGGAATGAGGAGCGCAGGCAGAAACATGACGGCAACAGCTGCGTGATGCTTGCTCCAGCAACAATTAACAACTCTGCTTCGCAATTGCCGGCTCAGGGAACGTGTGCCGCGGCGTACGCGTGTGTTGTTGACTCGGCACTTTAATTTAGACTCGTGACTGCGCAACGTCGTGCGCCGCGACGCCACCGACTCACGGCGTTGATGATGAACGCGTGCAGCAGCGTGTGCATACGCTGAGGGTGGCCCGTGATTTGGGCCCACGTGACTGACTGATGGCTCACCGCGCTCGAGACCTTGTTGTGAATCGTACGACAGACAGACGCGCTTCAGCCCCTATCCGCGCGCGTTGGCTTGGCCGCGGCGAGCCGCACGCAACATGCTCAGCAGCATCATGGCAGCGGCGGCATGCAGGGATGGAGAGAGGTTGGGCGACGATCGAGGCGGCGGAACTCAAACCTCATCAGCAGCATATATATACAGTATATGATGTGGATGGATGATAGAAATGACGGCGGATCCAGTCACAATGTGAATGTGAATGTGAATGTGAATGTGAATGTGAATGTGAATGTGAATGTGAATGTGAATGTGAATGGTGAGTTGCTGTGCTGTCTGCCTGATGGTGGGTCATCCGCGCGGCCGTGCACGACGAGCGGCAATAATGATCAAACATGAAGAAATAAGAGAGCGTGGACATGAAGTCAGTGCGGTAGTGGAATCTCAATCAATCGGTGTGGGACATAATCGGACGATGTCTGTGAGGGACTCCCAAAAAGCTTCGAATATACGAGCGATGAGATGGGATGGGATGATAGGTGTGATGCTCTCCTCTCCTCTCACAATCCCGCCGATTTGGCATTCCATCGACTTGACTCGCATCTCCTCGCTTTCTCTCCGGCGGTTAGGGTCGACGCGCGATTGCCGCGAATACCTGTACCCGTGATTGCTGCTGCTGCTGCTGCTGCACACACTCGCGCCAGTCCTTTATACGGCCCTCATGCAGCTGCTGCCCCTGCTGATGCACTCACTACACGAGACCTGAGTGCACCGCGTTGCCCAACCGCTTTTGCCTGCACTGCAGCACTGCAGCACTGCCATATCTGCCGGCACTCGCCTGTACCGCTGACCCGCACAGCGCCGTATCGCTCGCCTGTGCTGCTTTGCCATCATCTTCACCCTCACTACTCCTCTTTGACCGCCTTGCCGCCTTGCCCCTCATCATCCCCACACATCCCATTCCTCACCTCTTCTAACGACCCCTTGACGACTATTGACGAATCATTACGAGCGAGCGACACACTCTTGACTCTCCAGCTCAATTTGAGAGCTGTCAGAACCTCTTATCACGACCAACTCATCAAGACTTTTGCGACGAGCACCTTCACAACTTGTGCCTCAACTTGGCCGTCTCGCTCCAGAAGACACATTCCAAAGCTAAATCTTTTTCCACTCGCACACTCCTGACTTACGATTAGCATGGGAGTAACCTTTTCACGCCCTTTGCAGCAGGTGGAATATTTGCTACTGGGAGCAGCGAGCGCGTGGGACAGTCTGCTGCGCAAAGCGGAGAGGGGCATCAATGTAGTCTTACACGGCGCATTCGGACCCTTGTTCGGCTTCGAGCGGCCAAGCACGATCCACCGAGCATGCGACGCGGATGGCGTCTGCTACATTCCCGCTTCTCAAGCTGCCAAAGCTCGAGCGAAACGCGTGCAGAGAGCTCAGGACAAGATTGCAAAGAGAGCAGCTAGAGCAGAGGCAGCTGCTCGGAATGCTGGAGCGGAGTTTTGGAAAGTCAAGGATTTGGCGGAGCAGGGTGCCAAGGATGCGTGGAAGAGAGCGGGCGAGAAGGCGGAAGAGGACAGGGAGAGGTTGGTCAAAGCTGTGGAACATGAAAAGGAAAGAGTCAGAGCTTCTATGGACATCGAGAAGGATGCGATCCACAAGAGGTACGAGGATGGACGAAAAGTGCTCGTCGATGGCATCGTACACGAAAAGCAGCGCGTGGTCGACGGGGTGCACCATGCTGGTCAACTGGCTCATGATCAGGTTCACAACCTCGAGAACGCCGCGCACGATGTGGTTGCAGGACTGGAGAAGAGAGCGCATGATCAGATGGACAAACTGCTGCATCGCGAGGAACAAACAAAGGATCGAGCTGTGCAAGCTCTGGAGCAGCGCAAGGCTGCCATCACGCATGCCATCGAGAAGAAGCAAGTGGACATGCAGACTGCGATCGACGAGCGAAAAAAGGAACTCATCAAGAGAGCGACAGAAGACAAGGAGCGAGTAGTGCAGATCATGACGCGCTCGCCCAAGGAAGACTCAACGACGGATCAGGGCGGTGTGTTTGGGAAATGGGACATAGGGGCTGGCGGCCTGGCGGCCGGTTTGTACGCCGGCTTGGCAGGTGTCGCGCAGTACGGTGCCGAAGTCGTGGGATACGTCGCGCCCAAGGACCTCAACACAAGCCCCGCACGCGACGAAAATGCCATCAAACGATCTCTGGGAGAGGATGTCAAAGCTCCCAGACCTCGCTCGGCTGAGGAGCGACAGACCGCGGCGGAGAAAAGCAAAGGTCAATTATGGGTCATGGGAAACGTAGCGCCCTCTAGTCCTCCTCAAGCACCGTTGAGACGTAGCAACAGCAACTCCAAACGGCGCTCCAACCAGCCTCAGCCCACCGAGTCATCCAAGGCAGGCCAGGCATCCTTGTCGAACAGCGACGAAAAGACCGACCCTAACGAAGCACATGCGAGTCCTCGCAAGCGTGCAAACGCACCTCGATTGGATGCGGTGCGAGAAAGTATGACGTTCCCGGATCAAGTTCAGCTGTACAGCCACGAGCGAAGAGGATCGGGAGCAGACGCGGCTCACTTTACGTATCAAGTCTTGGCCAAGTCGGGCGACTCCGCACCGGTTCAGCACGTGGTGCCTAGGGAGAGAAAAAGCAGCAAGAACAAATCCAAAGATCGAAACGTGGCTATTGAAAGCTGCCAGTCGCCTGACTCTTCGTCTGCTCCTTCACCGGCTGTGAATGCTGCTCCCGTTCTAGTAGCTCCCAAGCCTCGCAGAGCGCAAGCAGAAACTGCACCATTCGTCGAGCCGCGCAAATCCGCACCTGCATCTTTGGTCCTCGATGCCAATGTTAGCTCGTCGACAGCGGTGGGCGCAGGCATCGTACGAGGGGCGACTCCTTCCTCGATAGGAGGCAGAATGAGCAAAGCGGCTCGAGCTTCGTTTGACTCCATTCGAGTCGCTCTTCCAGGTTCGCCCGGACCTCTATCGGATTCCGAAAGCGCGCTCGGCGGAGCAGGTCCAGCAGCGTCGCCTAACAGTCCTGCTTGGTCCAGATCCAACAGCCCAGCATTAGGAGTGTGCGGCATGGCTGACAAGGCCTGCTTGTCCAGATTGGAAGCTAGCAAGAAAGAAAGAAAAGCCTGGAAAGATGAAGTGAACAGGGTAGCTCTTCAACGTTGCCAGGCAAATTTGCACAAAGCCAGACAAGGCAACGCTCCTCCCTCCTCCTTCACTACTCTTCATCCTTCTCCAACCCTGACCAGATTCGAATCTGCACCATTGTCGGCAGGTGCAACTCCAACTTTGCAACATGCTGCTGGACTTAAAAGAACGCAGAGCGCAAAAAGACCTGCTTCGAACGCTCCGAATGCGAATCTCCGCACCAACGCCGTCACACTCGGCAAAGCTTCTCGACGTCTCACTGCTCCTGTCCCTCGCACCGAGGCTCCTTCTATTCGAACTTGATCCCCACAGCCTTCAGATTGGCTCTTCTCTTTCCCCCAATTTCTTCATCAACTAAATTTACAGTTGCGCCCAGATCGGCGTTTCTTTGATCTCTTCGGCCTGGCAAAGGCCTTTCCATTGTCCCGTGCGTCGTCGAGCGCCTTTTTTGATTCGTTGTATTCGGCTCCTTTTGCTGTCAGCTCGACCATGCCGACAACAACCGTTCTTCGATTCTTTTCCCCTCTTCTTTACTGGCTTCATTGCCCTATACCCTTTCCCATTTGCAATGGATGCCATTCTACTTTGGTCCGTGATAAAACGCACCGGACATCTGCTGATGGGAAGGTGCTTGTTCAAAGATTTCAGACGTGGCGCACACGATGTGTTTGAGTAGAATACCGACGCGAGCTCTGCGCGCGTATGAGATTAAAAGCTCAGTTGGCTGTGATATGACAATGTGGGACGGCAGAAATGAACGAGTGTGTTTGGCTGCGTTGAGCTGTACGAGCTTCAGAGGGTGGTGTGGTGTGGCCATGGGCCAAGTGGAATTGATGGAAGGGAGCAAGGACGAATCTGGGACGGTGGATGGTGGATGGTGACGGGAACGAGAGTCGGGGGAAGCGTCGACGCTGCGGGGAAAAGAATGATGAGCACGCTTCAGCGTACACTAGGAACGCCGTGGAAGTTGACCATGAAGAAGACTCGTGGTCCAGAGCCGATCCGCTCAGAGGGGTTGACGACGGAATTGGTCGTTGCGGTGAGGAGAGAAGTCCTGAGATCCAGCCGTGGCATCGGGCTTGTCGTCCTCGCTCTTGTCGGCTGCATCGCTCTCTTTGGGCTTGTCGACATCCGTGCTGCTGGTGGGGTCCTCGGCGACAGCCTTGCGGCGCTCAAGAGCATCGTCATTCTCCTCAACTTGGCGAGTAAAAGCCTTGATGATCTTAGATACGTTGAGGCCGCTTCCCTTCTTGCCCTTCTTGTGCTTGTCGCCATCTCCCTGCACATCGTCGGAAGCGTCTTCACGCGGGTGAACCTTCTCGTTCTTGGGCAAGACTGGCTTTGTGGACGACGAGGGCTTGGCAGGAGCGGACTCCGTGGCGGACTCGGTGGCTGTGGACTCGGCTGCCTTCGCCTTGTGACCCTTGGACGTGGGCGCCTTGTCCTTGGGAGCTTTCACTTTGGGTTCCTTCTCCTTGGGAGCTTTCACTTTGGGTTCCTTCTCCTTGGGACCTTGTCCGTGCTTGCCCTTAGCCTCGGGTTGCTTCTTGGGTACGTCGCTAGCAGCGGCCTTTGGGGCTTTGCTGGCCTCGGCAGAAGTAGTGGGCGTCTTCTTCGCGTCCTTGTTAGGGACGGCGTTGGCGTCGGGCTTCTTGTCGGAAGCGCTAGCCTCCTCTTCGTCACGAATCTTGATGCCGATGATCTTGGCGTCTGAAATGATGAGCGAGGCATATCGGTCAGTATGTCTTGACGGTGGAAGCTCGCAGAGGCGAGGGTCGCGACTCACCATGCTTCAGCTCTTTGTTGATAGTGTGAAGAAGGCCATGCTTGCCCTTGCCCTTGTGCTTGTGCTTGCGAGTGCGTTTCTTGTCTTCGTCCTCGGCCAAGTCCTCGTCACGAACGTTGAGACCAGCCGCAAGATGAGCATCTGGTAAATACCGCCACCTGCGGCGTGAGCACGAATGTTCAAGGGTCGTTGTCGCGGCGCAGCATTACTCACCGTGCTTAATTTCCTTCTCCGTGTTGTGGACTAGTCCGTGCCTGCCTTTGCGCTTCTTGTCCGCTTCATCGGCAACGTGTTCATCACGGAGGTTGAGAGCGCCGGCAAGATGAGCATCTGCGAACATCAAACAAAGATCCTATAAGCGCATTGAAGGGCAACAGCACTTGCGAACGCGCGTTACTCACCGTGCTTGACCTGCTTGTTGATGGTATTGAGGAGACCTTTGTTGCCTTTGGGTTTGCGCTTCTTGTCGGCTTCATCGGCTGAGCCTTCATCACTAGCGACGTCTTCACCACGGAGATTGAGAGCGCCGGCAAGGTGAGCATCTGTGAACATCAAACAAAGATCCTATAAGCGCATTGACGGGCAACATTACTTGCGAGCGCGCGTTACTCACCGTGCTTGACCTGCTTGTTGATGGTATTGAGGAGACCTTTGTTGCCCTTGGCTTTGCGCTTCTTGTCGGCTTCATCGGCTGCATCTTGATCCTCAGCGACTTCCTCATCTCGGATGTTGAGGTTAGCAGCCAAGTGTGCATCTGCGGGAGGTGACGAGTTGGAATGATGAGCATCAGTATTGAAGATTCGCTGCCCTCGAGCAATACTCACCGTGCTTGACTTGCTTGTTGATGGAGCTGAGAAGTCCGTGCTTACCCTTGTGCTTGGGCTTGCGCTTCGTGTCGGCTTCGTCGGCAACATCCTCGTCTTCAACGGCATTCTCGTCGCGGACATTCAGATCAGCAGCCAAGTGAGCATCTGAGTCAAACAAGGCGCGGTTGCACGTCAGCGCGGAGGAACGACAATGAGCATTGTGGGACACTTGACGCTCACCATGCTTGACCTGCTTGGTGACGGCGTGGACCAGACCTCCCTTCTTGTGCTTCTTCTTGTCAGCATCATCGGCCACATCAGTGTCACGAATCTTGATGCCAATGTGGCCAATGTCTGGCAAGAGGACGAAGCGACGGCGACGGATGAGCATTTGCAGTCTAACAGGCCCGACACTGCCGTCTGTCTTTGATACTCACCATGGTTGACGTCCTTGATGATCTGGTGAAGGAGGCCGTCATTACCCTTGTGTTTGTGGGACTTGTGCTTGTGATGAGAGTGGTGCTTCTTGTGCTTGGCGACCTGGAGGTCGGCAAGGGAAGCACGGCCATCAAGCTTGGGCCAGTACACGGCATCGGCATCCTCGACATTCTCATCGCGAGCGTGCAGGAAGGGAAGGTTGATGAAGAGGTCGTTGAGGTATTCGCCTTCATCTTCGGTGCCCATGACGCGTTGGAAGCGAGTGAGACCACTGATCTTGACGGGGTCGTCCAGACGAAGCTCGTGAGCCAGCTTGAACCAACGAGCGAGCTTGCGCGTGTCGTGTTTGGCACCGCGCGTGGTAGAGAACTCTTTGCCGAGATCCAAAAACTCGCTGAGAGGGTTGGCGAAAGTGTCGGCTTGGGCGTCGAGGTCGCGCTCTGTGAACGAGGGAAGGAGCGAGGATATACGAGGGGTCAGGGCAGCCGCCGCGACACCGTAGATGACGGAGTGTTCGACTTGGATGCTCACCAGTATGAGCCTGAGCAGCGTAGCCTATCGAGGCGAGCGAAGTGGGCGACTAGTGAGACCCCGAAAGGCAGGCCAACGCATAACGAAGACACTCACCTTGTACTTGCGACTGCTCCGAGGACGTGCCGGGGACAGATGTTCCATCAGCTCCTTGCTCCGCTGACGATGGAGAAGAGGCAAAGGACAAGTGGGAGGGACAGGGTTAGTCGAGGAGCTTCGGCGAATGCAAGAAGCGTACTCTCTGCTCACCCGTGGAGGCAGCTTGAGCCATGGTGGCGGCAAGAGCCACCGCGAGAAGAGTGAAAGTACGAAGACGCATGTTCGTGTGAAGCCTGGTGGGAAAGAGAAAATGTGTTCGTCGGTGTGGAACGGAACGCGATGAGCGAGGCACGAGCTGTAGAAGTCTGTGTGTTGAGACAAGAGAGTGTGAGCGGGGAACGAGAACGGAAAAAGACGAGAGCGGTGAGTGGAGGGGTAGAGGTCAAGGAGTGAAATGGATGGATGGATGAAGAAGAGAAAGACGCTGAAGGTGAATCAAGCGCCAGGTTTTATGTGCAAGCAGTCGTGAGTTGTCTTTGATTTGCTTGCGCGAGGTTCGTCAGCAGAGAGGCAGTTTCCAGGCTCAAGAGCGTTGGGCCAGAATGTTCAGTGAAGCTAGCGAGCCGTTGAGAAAGAAGAGCAACCGCTGGAGGCGCTCGAGCGCTGGCTGTTCAGCCATCCCAGCTCGCCAGCCCTACACAGCACTCGATGCGACTCTGACTGCATCTGGAGTCGCTCCGCCGGTCGAGGGTAGGCAGCATACATAGACAGATGAATTGCGTACACTCGTGACTCGTGATTTTGAAATCTCCAATGTGGATGGTTGCATACGCTTAGGCTGACTACTTGACAATCGAGGAGCGCGCAAGCACCCGCTTCCCCGACCAAACAGCAACTGCATTGAAGACGTTGAGCGTGCATCCACCGTGAATGACGGGGTGGCCTGTTGAAGTCCTTGTGCTGTGCGCGCCCTCGACGCCGTCAACTCTCGAGCCGCCGGTACCGTCGGCATATGCCATTTTTGGGCTTGCTACCAGTCAAAATTATGGCCATTTGGCACTTGGCATAGGATCCGTCTTGGTGCTGCTCCAGATTTCTTCAGTCTGGGGTGCATGTCTTTGCCTGTCGATTGCTGAGAGTGAAGACTAGGGATCGCGTGTGCTGTGTGCCAGCTGTATGTGTGTGAGAGAAGCGGGAGCCCCTGGCGTGGGCATGCAGGTTGACCGTTATGACGCGCGGATGGATGGATGGCTATCACCCACCTACAACGAGCTGTTTGGAAGCAGCACGCGGCGGGCGGGCCAGGCTTTCTAGCGCGCGCTGTGCTCAACCGTCTCCTTGCCGCACTCGGCCGCTGTGTGTGTGGGCCTTCTGGTCACGAAATCAACGTGACTAGACAGACGGTCACTTGTCTGCGCCCTTGTCTGAGGTGGGTTGACATGCCTGCCTGAATTTGACCCGATAAAGGCTCTCTGTGTGAAGGCACAGTCGTGTGTCAATGTCACGTGTGTAAGATGTGGATCGATCGCTGCCACGGTCTCACAAAAAGGAGTTACACAACAGTGTGAGTAGTCTAAGTCGCGAGTCTTGAATTTGAGTTGAGGGGTGAGTCTTGCGTCTTGCCTTCTCGCGTCGCGGCTGCATGGGCGCGAAAGTGATGGATGGCAGTTCGCCCTGATCGATTCTCTAGAACATTCATCTGAGCAAACAAGCCCAGCAGCTTCTCACGTGGCGCTTACGCCATCGCATAAATAGGGGTGCATGGGGTCAGCGTATAAGAACGTGCGAGCGCGCCTTGCCTCAGTACCATCATCTCTTCGCCACTCTCGCCCCGCTTGTACCGAACAAAGTCTATTCTCAGCCAGCCTCGAGATCAAGTCTTTGTGTCACTCCACGCGGGCAGCGGTCGAACGTTTTCTTTCGCAAAGTCATAATACAGCGAGACGAATTTGACTTCCGAGAGTCTCGAGTTGGGCCTTCAATCGATGCTTCTCTAGGTCGTAAAACCAAACGCGCCGCACCAGTGCTGATTTGCAAGCAGCAGTCACTGAGTGCACTTCGAGCGGCGCTCACTCTGCGTGACTGGCGCGCTTGCCTACAACTAGGCTCTGCCACGCTCTTCGATCTCGAGGGCCTGATCGATCAGCCATGAGCAACAGAGCTGTGGTGAGCATACATGCAGAGGCTACTTGCCCAGTGAAACTCAAACCTGCCCTGTTCTTTGTTGACAATTTCATCTGCATTCGCCATCCAAATATCACCTTCAAGTCTGCTACGTACCGACAGATCATCGATGATGTGATCGCAAACGTGCGCCAAGACTTTGAGGACGTTGGCGTGGAGAAGGAAGTGTTGGAGGAGCTTCAGCGCGTAAGTGCTTTGTCGAGCGAGCGACTGTATGCAGTCACGCTGAGCCATCGTCGCATCATTGCATCGTCGCAACGTCGCATTGTACCGCTGCACCTCTATGTAATCTCAGAGCTGGGAAGCCAAAATCCTCGCGACTGGAGTTGCTGAATTCGATGGTGCTCCGTCGTCATCGACGGGCAAAGGCGGGAGCAAGAAAGGCGGCAAGGCGGACAAGGACAAGGAGGTGAAGCCTAATGTCAAGAACCCTCCAGCCTCTGGCAATTCGTCTCAACACCTCGATACGAAATCCGAGGACAATGGTCAGGCTTCTAGTAGCGACTCTAGAAAAATGCACAAGACCGAAGACGGCAAGGCCAATAGAAATTTTGGCGATGGTCACGATGATGGTTTCATCAATGGTAGCGGCAAGGAGAAAGCGGGAGAGAAGCGTAAGAGAGCTGCCCAGACTGACGAGATCAACAGTGATCTCGATGACAGCGATGATGAGGAAAAGGACGTAGGCGAGATCGAAGGTGAAGACATGATCCTGTGCCTGTACGACAAGGTGAGCGCCGTCGATGCCTTCTGTAGACGCTGACCTCGCAGCGCCTGCCTGCTGACTCTGTGCCGAACTCCGTCTTGCGAATAGGTCCAGCGTGTCAAGAACAAGTGGAAGTGCGTCCTCAAGGATGGCATCGCCAACATAGATGGTCGAGACTACGTCTTCTCCAAACTCAACTCTGACTTTGAATGGTGATCACCTCGCATTCTAGCTTGTCAGCCCTCCGCTTTCCGCGCACATTCTTTGACCAGGCTTGACAAGGCTTTGTTCCAACACTCGCATTAAAGCGGCTGTGTTTCCTTCCATCACAAGTGGAGAATTGCGATCTCCCTGAATCACGACAAGAATCGTGTCAGCCTCCTCGCGGTTACGCAGCCGATCGCCTCTCCTCGCGGCCAAAAGATTAAGCCAAACAAAACAAAGATCACAACTCGACCAATCGCCTCACCTTAAGTCTATGTGAAAACCGCACTCTATATCACATTGCCAACATTCTTACAAGCTCATATCAGATCCCACGTCGCATACTGTACCACTAGCATTTCATCCAAGTCCCCACCAATGCGTCGCGCAGGCCTTGCTTCGCTCTACTCCTACTGTTCCGTGATGTCGATGGGATGAGTTGCCACACTCAACACACGACGACGTCCCCCATCCAGGCCTTCACAATCGAAATCTGATGACGTTCCCCCTCTCAAGGCTGATCATGCTCGAGCCGTGCTCCGGCTGAATGGACCTGGTGTACGAACCAATCGCGTTCATGAACGATGTCGACTTGTAGGAGGTACACTCGGGCCGGACTCGTCTGCTCTCGCCGCGCAACGCACACCCCGGGCCCTTCCACGACTCGCGACTCTTGAATCGTCACTACTTTCACACTCAATTCGTGATTCTAGACTCTTCATCCCACAATTCGTGATTCAGCAGCGCGAGGTTGGTGACCCTGAGGTGAGGGAGGCGCGCGAATGTATGCGCATCACGTACAGCACAGCATCTGCCTCCTCCACAGCAGGCGCAGAGGTGCTGAATCACAAAGCGCGAATCGTGTGGGATCAGACTTTGACTGGGACCCGGCCCCCCTGATTGGCATCGATCGTCCTCGCATTTGGACTTCGCGTGACCACATCCACACGTCCCGCTCCATCAAAGATCTCATTGCGCACATCACCCTCGTTCGCTCAGTACGCCCCGATTCACCTCCTTTTTTCTTCCAAACACACTCAATTTCTGGAGCAACTCTCCCACGGCCTTCCCCTTACTCCACTCTCTTTGCCTCGCTACATCCACCAGGCATCTTGAAGGCCACACGAGAGACTGTCGCGTGTAGACTCTCCGCGCGCGCAACATGTGAGTGTCGGCTAGACCGGCCAACACTAGAACCTTTTGGTCTTAGAGTGCCCAGCGATGACCGACATGTCACCCCTCTCGCCCCTCTCTCGTTCAGGGCCAAGATGAATGCAGGACCGAGCTCAGCTCGACAATCGCCCTCTGAAGGGTTAGACGCTAGTGAAGTGATAGAGTCTCACAACTACGCCGAGACGCCGCGACCATTCAAGAACATCTCGGCTCGAGCACGAGCTCGAAACAAGAATCTCAAACAGATATTGGCGGCAGAGAGGGATCTGTTGTTGGGTATTGCCCCTGGAACGAACAAGAAGGGTGCTTCTGGCACATCGGCAGGTGCGGCAAAGGAAGAGGTGCAACCTGTTCGGATTGTGGGAAAGGATGGCAAGATCAAGATGTTGGGTGGGGCTGCTGCGAAAAGGAAGAGGGAAAGGGATGCCAAGTTGCTTCAGAGGGCTTCGGAGATGGAAGGTACGCCAGATGTGGCTGAAGGCGAAGGTGCCGAAGACGAGCAAGGGGGGGATGTGTCCATGGCCAAATCGCAGGGCAATGAGACGCTAGGAGAGACGAGCAAAAGCGGTGCGGAAGTGGTTGCCAAAGTGGAAGAGGTGGTGGATCACGAAGCTCTAGCAGCACAGGCAAGAGCCGAGGCGAAATTGGCCAGAAGGAGAGAATTGCCGAGCTACTTTAGCGTAGAAGCTCCTCCTTCTCTCAGGCCAAGGAAGAAAATGTGCGACATTACGGGACTGCCAGCACCGTACACGGATCCAAAGTCTGGCTTGAGGTATCACAGCGTGGAAATTTACAAGCTCATCAAGACTTTTGGACCTGGTGTCGACCAGGCCTACCTCTCGTTGAGGGGAGACGCTTCAGCCATCAAGTAGCTGGCATCACAGTCATGGGCATCTCTGACCCGCAATGCCTCATAACGATTGCCCAGGAAGCGCTAATGCCATGTATCAGCAAGAGCCTTACCGCCATGCCCCTCCCTTCTTACTGTCGCCGCTCGCGCAAAGCCCCTCGTGCTCATCACATTTCACGACAACTTGAATTCAAAGCAATTCAGACAGTGAGATTTCTATGCGGTGAATCTTGAACATGGATGGTAGCAACAAATCTAGAGGGGTGGCTTACAGAGGGGAGTCATCGACAGCGGAGAAAGATGGTGACGAGAAGAAGCACGTTTCGGAAACCCGAACCAGGCCAGGTCTCTTGTGACTCAAGCGACTGGCGCCATCTCGGCATCAGGAGCCGATGCGGTCGCGATGCGTGGGGACGTGTCACTGACGAGGGATCGCACAGACATGGGTGGTGGTAGCAAGATGTTCGAGGGGCTGGTCTCCCTGCTAGCGAGAGCGTGACCAAGTGATGGCAACTTGCGTTCCAGATCCGTCGGTGTGGTCGCCGGATGGATAGGCGTCATGCTGAAGAAACCCTTGTTTGCGCTTCGGTGGGTATGACTGGGCTGATGCGCGGCTTCGTGATGCGAAGGCGTCACCACAGAGAATGTGCTCGAAGGACTCGACTCTGCAGAGCCATGGAAACCATATGAGCTTTGACGCGAGTGGGAGGCAGACGAAGATGCTACACCGGTACTGGCCGAGTGAGGCTGAACCGGCGGTCGATGCAAAGCTCGTGGTGAGCCAGGGGGAGAGTTGGCAGCGCTGGCAGGCGCGCTTTTGCTGTTGCTTCGATGCTTGTTGCCTCTGCTAGCGTGCTCGTGTGGATTGTCGTAGGGCCTAAATCCATGCAGCGCATGATGCTGATGCTGATGATTTGTGCTTTGGCCGACATTGTGCAGGTTGGGCAGATGAGGACTGGAGGAGCTGCTCGCCGCGAAGGGCGATGGCAAGGTTCGGGACGATGCGTCAGCCGCAAGGCTAGGCAAGGAGACGCGTGAATTGCCGGCGCTCAAAGAGCCAGACGCCCCATTCAAAATATCCTCCACGCGAGATCGTCGTCCAGCTGCCTCATTTGAAGCACTTGAAAGAGGGGTGAGCTGGTAAGCGCTGAGGCTACCAAGCGCTGAGGAGCGTTCTCGCCGGGAAGCCGTACTGTGCTGGCGTGAGAGCGGATGGGCCACATGTCCAAACTCGTACCGATTCGTGGGACTTGTAGACGCGGAACCAGGCGTTGAAGCCGATTCGCGCTTAGTGTCAGCATGGCGTGCATCCACAGCGATCGCAGTGCTGCGTTCTCCAGAAGTTGTGGGTGGAATGTGATGACCCGAACCGAACGAAGCCAGTGCGCCCGCGTTTCTTGCGGTCCCGAGTGATGACAAATGGTGGTGAGAGCGCGAGAGACTCAGGTGGGAGTCAGCCTGCGGCGGTCCATACGGGTGGCTTCGATGTCTGTGACCTCCGTGATGACCACTTTGAGCCGTGTGCGAGGGGCCGGCGTGGAATAGATGCGGAGGTGAGTGATTGTGGGAGCCACGATCACCGCCTGGCGAGTGTAGCGGCGCGCCCACGCGACTAGGCGAGCCTGGTCTGGATGGGAAAGGACTGTTTGGCACAGTCTGGTGTCCGAAGAGGCTCATGTTCCGAAGAGGGCCGAGCACGGGACTACTAGACGGTGTCCATTCCGATAAGCCAACCGCGGATGCGTGCGCTCTTGCTGCTCCTCGTCCCTTCAGCTCATCGTGCTCTCCATCAGACTGGTAGTCGTCGCTCATCAGGCTCTCGCCAGGGGAAAATCTGGGCGAGTGCTCACGACTGCTTGGCATGCTGCTCGTCGCCGAAGCGGAGAAGTAGTGGGGCTGTTGCATCTGGACCCGTCCGGAGTAGGGACCCTGCGGTCCGTATCTTTGATGAGGGAGACCGCTAGCATGGTGGTGGAGAGGCTGCAATGAGGCTGCGACGCGCGCGTTGTATTTTCCATGGCACTCGTCATGCTCGCAACCGGGAGGGGTGGGAGCAATAGGTCCACCAGGGTATGGTGAATGAGCATATGTAGCGACGTGAGGACCGAAGCGAGAATCGCTGTGCAGCATGCCTGGAGCACCGTGAGCTGCACCACTCTGGTCGCGCCCATATCTCTCAGCACGCTGCAGATGGGCGAGCTCGTCCGTAGCTAGATCTGCCAACGCAGATATCTGCTCTGTGCGCTGTTCAGGCTGTCTCGAGTAGCCAGATTTATCCTCATCATCTGAATCGCTGTCGCCGTCTTCATCGCCAACCTGCCACCTGGTCTTCTGCTGTGCGCCGCTGGAGCCTTTCTTGGCCATTGATGCTTTCGCAGCATCGTCCTTCTTGTGATTAGGGTTGGTGTGTATTCGAACATGCCTGGTTAGTTCATCGCTGCGACTAAAGCGCTTCTCACATCCAGGATGCGTGCACTGGTGCGGTTTCTCGCCTGTATGAGTGCGAATGTGGCGCGTCTGATGCTCGAGGCGGTAGAATGCGCGGGAGCAAAGGGGGCACTTGTAAGGTCGTGGAATCTGAGACTTGTCAACGTTGAAGCTGCTTGCGGACGCAGCTGCCATCTGTGACGCTTGCTGCTGTTGTTGAGCCATCATGGCTGAATCCGCCGCTGCTGCTACTGCCGGCTGTTGCGAGTCGCTTTGTACAAAAGGCGCGGCGTGCACGTTTTGGTGGTCCACAAACGCAGACGGCGACACAGAAAAGTAGTCCGCGAAGCTGGAAGGTGGTCGAGATCCCATGA